TGTTACTCTGACAGGCATCAGAGTAAACGCTTCTTTATGCCGAGGGTCCTCTTTTGGCCGCCATGTTGGGAGTGGCGTGTTGAGGGCGTCGAGGATGTCGCGGACTTTCTTTGACCTTCTCAAAATGGCGGCCAAAAGGGCGGGGAAATCGCACACCCCGGTAAGTCTGCCGCCCTGTGGCCACAGGCGGTACTGCACCCCCCGAGCCAGCGCCCTGCCCCTCGCCGCTGGGTGCCGGGGGCGGGGGAAGGACGCGGCTGCCGAGCGAGGGGCGGGAGCGAGCGGCGTCGGAACGGGGCTGCAGCCGCCGAGCCCGCGCACGCCCCGCTCCCGGCGCTGGGAGCGACTGCGGGCCGGCCAATCCCGGCGGGGCGGCCCCGGGCAGGCGGCGCAGGAGGCGAAGCGGGGCCGTGGCGCTCCCTGCCTTTGCTGCCGCCGGCTTAGAAAGGTCGGGCCGGGTGCCCGTCTCGTCCCGCCGCCTCCCGGTCTCTGTAAACTCCTCTCTGGCTTCACAGGTCCGTGCTGGAGAGTGGGAGAAAGGGCCCTGCTGGTTGCGTGTCCTCGGTGGGCGGAGAGCTCTGACCTTGGCCGCTTGGGCTGCTGAGTATTGGAACAATGGGGATGCGCTTTTATGCATTTAGTGACCTTTACAGATTTATTCCCCTCCTTCAGGTGAGCGTTCATCATTGCAGGCTTGGGATTGATTGGAATGCGCTGAGGAAACCAGCTCTGGAGAGGGAGGGAGGGAAATCCTCTCAACATTTACCAATTCTTCTGTCAAACTCATCACGGCAGGACAGCGTGAAGACTGAAAGTGTAAGAAGATGTGGAGGGAAACAGAGAATCTGACAGGAGCGACGAACGCCCAAGTGCACGAATTTTGCTTCTTGCTTGGATTTAAACTCAGGAGTTGAAAGGAATTTGGGAATGAGAAGGGACATTTCCCAAGGAGAAGAAGTTGTTGTTACAGCCCTGACAAAATCTTTTGTTCTAGCTAATAAGTTAGCTTAAATAAAAAAAAAAAAAAAAAAATTGTTTTTTTCCTTTCACTATTATATTCATTGGTGGTATATGGTGTGTTGTTTTATTTCTTGGTATTATTAACTCTGTGTAAGTTGTTTTTTGAGTGAAGCTAACTTTCTGGATGAGTTGGTTTGTATTTGAAGTAGGATTAATTTCAATAGGTTTCTTTCATAGACTTCTGATAGGTATTACTGGGATTTTGGTTTTGTTTGCTGTATGTATAAACAGAGATTTGGTAGGGCCAGCTGGACTGCTGGAGTTTTGGGTGTGGATTTATTAGATGGCTTTTTTTAAACACAGAATAATTATGTAAGTTAACAGCAAATTACCCAATTTATCTAGCTATGCTACCTAAACACAAAGTTTTATGTCTTACCAGTTTTCTGTTGTTCTGCTCCAAGTAGCTGTTGTAAAAAAGAAAGTGCTCTTATTTTTCTGAAGAGTTTTCTTCTATAACAAGCCCTTTACTGCCCTTGAATTCGAGTCAGAGGAGCCAAACAGCTGCAGCTCCTCTGAGGACTTCCACACCCGGTGGGATTTGCCCCCTCCCTTTTCCTGGGTGCCATGGGAACGAGAGGCGGGCACCATCAGGGGTATATTAACCCCAGCCTTGGCTGAGGGGCTTCATTCCCTCTCTGGGATGTGCTGGGGTAAGAGCTCTCCTCTCATTTCAGTGAAGGGGCACTTTCAGCTCATCTCAGCTTGTTTTCAGCAGGTGTTTCTGGGCATCTAAAGCAACAGAGACTTGGAAGAGACTGTGGGGAAAACAGTGTGGAATACAGGGAGTATTTAAGTTCATGATTTTGGGTTTTGTGCTTAGGGGTGGTAGAGCTCCTTAGCAATTTCTGGTGCTGTTCTTGTTTTGTTGTTTTATTGTTTTTGGGAGGAGCACAGCTTCCAGAGGTTCCCAGTTGTGTCAATTACACCACTTTTTTCAGCAGATTCATCATGTCACAAGAGGGATCTGCCCAGTGTCAAAGATGATGTTTGAGACTGAGGCCTCAGATGAGTTGAGGATCGTGACTAGGAGAGTGAGGGTGAGCAGGTATCCAGGTAGGAGTTATTGGGAGGGGGTTTGCAGGCAGCAGGGTGAGAAAGGGTGTTTATTTGAGGTGCCCCCCATCCCCCACAAGGCTTCTCAAAAGCCTGTCAGAGGCATTCCCATGTCTTGCAGCACACAAGGTCATCCACTGCACTCACAGGAATGCCATTTAACTTTGCCCTTCTCTAACCCAGATGCCACTCCTAATGAAGGCCACAGCCTTGGAATCAGGATGAAGCTGGAGCCTGAAGGAGCCAGGCACACTCAGGAGAGGGCAAGTAGCTGCCTTGCTGGGATTTGGCCCACATAACTCTGAACTCACACATTGGTTTTGGTTTTCTTTATTGTAGCTGACCGAGAGGCTCACAGGCAATCACGGGGCCCTCCAAGGCTCCAAGGCAGACTCATTTCAGGTGCAATGTGGATTCCCATCACCGATCATCCAAAAGATAAGTCGGGGGCCACGGCCTGGAGATGGGAGAGTAGCGGGTTGGGAGTTCTTGGGACAGATTTAAAATTTAGCAGAGGGAAAAGCAATCTTCTCCAAGGGCCTCTTAGGACAGCTAAAGGGAGAGACTCTACTTTTGATGGCAGCTTTCAGGTGGGCAGCGCAGAACAGTTCTGGTCCACGCCGTGTTGTCCGGGGTACCGTGTTACCCGGTGTGTCCTTGGGGTCCCTTTGGTCAGATATCTCTGCCTTTTCCCCTCGAGGCCCTCACCACAAGCATAATGTGTCGTGTTTATTGTCCCTCTGTTTGTCCCGTTCTGTGTCATGGGTGTCTGCACGCATTTGTGCCGGAGCTGCTCTGCCCTGCCACATAGCCTGCTGCAATAGGACAAGTCGCAGGGACTCGCAGTTTGTGGGGTGTCGCCGGACTCTAGATGATATTCCTAGACAGGCATGAGATCTTTGGAGCTGTGACGTTATCCTGCAGCCCTCTGACTTTTGTTCTCACTTTCTTTCAGATGCAGAAGGACAAAATCCAGGGCAAAATCCATCCACCCATGCTGGGTGAGGAGGTTCCCCCGAGCAGGTCAGTCACTGTTTGTCTCTGCAGGGGGAGTGTAAAGTGTGCCTCTGTTACAGCACTGTTCCTTTTCTTTTTAGGAAGTAAAGCTGGATATCAGCAGTCAAGGTGAGGTGGCCAAGGTGAGCAGGGTACAGAAGCAGTTGTTATTGCTCAAGTCTCACTTTCCAGTGCAACTCTAAGCATCTGTTTCTGCAATTTAGGCAGTCCACTTGGAGCACACCAAGCCCCCGTCACCAACCGGCCGATGCCCCGGGTTCGCCGCTCTCCTGAGCCCTGCAGAAATATCACTGGACTCGGCAATGAAGCCTCTGCCTTTTCTATTTCAAGGTGTCACCAGGATAGCCTTCAGCAATGGCTGAGGAGTTGTGAGTCGGGGCAGCAGGGAGGAGGAGCGAGGGTCCCATCAGGTTTCAGCCATGGGAAATCACCTCATCTCCTCTTAACCCAGGCGTTCCCTGTGACGATGGCCTCGGTCTCTGAGCGTGCCCGAAGCGTGCGGCCCAAGCAGCTGGGCATTCCTAGGAGCACGGTGAGTAGTAGACTTGTGGGGTTTTGGCCGCTGGGCTGCCGAGATCAGGCACTGATGTTTGGTTCTCTTTAATACAGCTGTGTGAGAGACAACAGCCCGGTGCCAGCAGGACCTTCCCAGCTGACGAGGTGGCCTTTCTTTGCACCTGACAGGCACCAGCATCCCCAGATGTCTGAGAGATAAGCAAAGGACCGCAACCCACAGAGGGGATGGAAGCAGGGTGCTGGGTTGGGTATTACGGGGAGGGGTTTTTGAGTCTGCTTTGGAGGTGGGGGGTGTCCATGAAGTGGCCCCTTAGGCCCCATAAAAGCAAAGTCTCACTTTTGATCACAGCGCTGAGGTGCGCAGCAGGACAGAGCAGTCCCGGTGTGTATCGTGTCACTTGTCTATTGTGCATTATGTGTTGTTTGGGTATCTCATGTCTTTTACCTTAGCCCTTTGAGGAGCCTGTCAGAAACCTTGGCACCATTCTTAGCATCCTCGATCTCAGTGTTCCTTGCCATGGCACCCATGCCATGGAAATTTTGATTCAGGAGCTCAGACAGGCATCAGAATTGCATCTCTCTTTGGAAGCATCCAGTCAGATGTCTTGTCAGGTCTTGTTCTGAGCTGTATGGACAGCTATGCCCCCAATGATCCCTTATGGCAGATTAGCACTTGAAAGAGTGTTAGGTAGAGCATTCTGACAGTAGGATTCCTGGGCATCCATCTTTGCTGTTCTTTGAATAAATCATTCAGTTAGCATCTTCTTCCTCCAGGGTTCTCTGAGCCTCATCAGCTCACCATCGGTCTCACCTCGGTCATCTCCTTTTGCATTCTCTCTGTCCTTGCAGCCATTTTCCTTGCCAAGAGATTTCTGTTCCTGTTGTGTCTCCATTGTCCGTCATGTCCTGTCCTGTGTCACGGGCGTCTGCACACATTTGTGCCAGAGCTGCTCTGCCCTGCTGCATAGCCTGGTGCAATAGGAGGCGTGTCGGGGGCTTGGAATTTGTAATGTGGGGTGTAGTTGGACTCTAGATGGGATTTGTAGATGGACACAGGATATCTGGAGTCCATAAGTTATCCTGCAACCCTTTGACTTTCATCCTAACTTTCTTTTAGTTGCAGAAGGATAAAATCCAGGGCAGAGCCACCCATCCTGCTTGAGGGGATTGCCCCGTGCAGATCAGTCACTGTTTGTCTCTGCAGAGGAAGCATAATTGGTGGCTGTTACAGCTCTGCTCTTTGTCTTTATTTTTAGGAAGTCAAGGGAGAGAGCAGCTGTCAAGGCTGAGTGGGCAAGGTGAGCACTGAGTAGGGTACTGAAGCTGTTGTTTTTGCTGAGGTCTCAGTTTTTGGTGCAGCTCTAAGCATGTATTATTCTTCTTTTTCTTTTAGATGGTCTGCTTGCCATCTATCCTAGCCCAGCATGCCCATGCCAGGTGAGTTCAAGCTTAAGGTATTGGTGTGGCATACTTGTCAGGGTTGGGAGGTTGTGTTTTCACAGTATCTCAGCATGCTTTTCTGCTTTGTTTCTTTGCAGGTGCTGTCGCTGCCCTAGGCATGCCCAGGAACGGAGGAGGGCAGGTGAGCCAGGGTTTAGGCAGGCTGACTCATAGGTCATGCTAAGCGTGTCCATTTTCTTTTTGCAGGTACCTTCTGGGTAGCCTCCGGAGTCAAATCAAGACTTGAGGTGAGCTGGGGCAGGGGTGCGGAGGAGTCCCGGGGACTACTCTTTTTGAGGGCAATGGTCACCTTTTCTGTTTTGCCTTAGGTACCTGTGGGAGGCTTGTAGCTACAGCTTGGAAGCGGCAGCACCGAAGCACACACATTGAGAACATCTCAACGTCCACGTCTGACCAACAATGGCTTTTATCCACTCCAAAAGCTAAGTGTCTGGGCCAGTGGTTGGGAGAAGGGGAAAAGCCTTTACTATCACAGGAGGCAATCTGATGTCAGCTTAGCGGAGAGGGCTGTAGTGGGACGGGCTCCCTGGAAGTAAAGGGAGAGGGTTTCTCCTCAGCCTCACCAGAGCCTTTGCCAGGCAGGGCAGTTCCGACCCATCCTCACATTCTTGTGAACTTTGTGTTGTCTGCCTTCCTCAACTCGACGTCGTCACTGCTCTTTTCCCTGAGGAGCTCGCCTTTAGGTCTGGAGCTATAGCTGTGGTCACCCAGCAGTCCGCTTCCTTCTCTAGGCTTGCTGAGCCTCTCGAGCATCCTCCTAACTGCTTTGGCCCTAACTTCCTTTAATGAGCTACCTTTCATCATCACGTGCTGTCATAGGGCTTTCTTTCCCTTGGCCTCATCGGCCTCTGGCTCGTCTTGTGCTAGGACTCTCAGGTCCCTAAGGGGAAAGTGCCAAGCAGTTGCAACTTGTCTCTGTGTTATGTCATCTGTGTCTATGTTATGGTGTCTGTGTTATGTAGTGTGTGTCCATTGTCTTCCACGTCATAGGCCTTTGTTACATTTCGATGCTTTATCGGCACTCTTCTGTGCCATATAGGCCGTGTTCTACTCACATTCCTTTCCGGATATCCCTTATTCCAGCATCTTTACATTTTTACTCTTTGAGACAGGAATGTCTCACAGGGACAAGATGTTCTCATCCATCTTCCTTCTCACTACCAGCTTTGGTAGTGCCTTTTTTCCATTTTCTTGGACTTCTAGAGGGAGTGTCTTACACCCTCCTCACATGACTGCAGTAGTTCTATAGGTTCCATCTTCTCAAAGGGTATAGGGCTCAAGAATTCATCTTCCAGAGAGTTATCTCCAGTCCTGGCTTGTATTGTATGTACCTATATCGTGTGTACCTATATTGACCTATATTGTATGTACTCACATTGTATGTACCTATGCTGGCTTGTACTGTATGTACTTACATTGTATGTACCTATGTTGACTTATACTGGGTGTACTTACACTGTATGTAAGTGCGGCGCCCTATATTATGTGTATTTACACTCTGTGTATGCTTGCACTGTGTGCATCAGCTTATATTGTGTGTACTTACATTGTACCACTTATGATCGGAGCTGCCCTGCCCTGGTACGTAGTCACAGTTAGGTAGAACAGTTATAGAAATTTTACTGTTCATCTGTCTTCTATGGGATTTTGGGTAGAAAATTTATCAGTCCAGAGTGGGGACAAGTCCTAGCTGTCAGATAGCCACTCGTTGACCCTTCCTGTCGTCTCACAGGTCCCCGAGGCTGCTGATTTCCCCAGGATCTGCCATTTACGTCAAGGAGCGGCAGCCAGAAGATGTGTCAAAGCACGTTCTTCAGCATCTCAGGTAAGGGCTGCAGCGAGCGGGTAAGTGGAAAGAGTGTGTGAGTGTGTGTGAGAGCACGTGCCTGTGTCTGTCTGTGTCTGCTCATGTCTGCATGTGTGAGCGCATGCTGACTGGATTTAACCTTGTGTATATGACTTTTGCTTTTCAGGTTTTGCAACTCATTGTTAAATTTAGAATAAAAAATCCCCAGCTGCCTCCCCCCCCCCCCCCACCCCGGCTGTGTTTTTTTTTTTCTTCATCCTGGTTGAGTAAAAACCCAGAAAAATACCCCAAGATAGGCTAGAAAAGACCCAAAAAAACCCAGTCAAAAACCCCAAGATGGGCAACAAAAAAACCCCACAAAAATCCAGGAAAAAAACCTCAAGATGGGTAAGAAAAAAATCAAGAAAAAACCCAGAACAATCCCAGGAAAAAGCCTCAAGATGGGCAAGAGCAAACCCAGAAAAAAAACCTAAAAAACCCCAAGATGGGCAAGAAAAATCCAGAAAAAAACTCAGGGAAAAAAAAAACCCCAAGATGGGCAAGAAAAACCCAGGAAAAAAACCCCAAGATGGGCAACAAAAAAACCCACAAGATGGGCAAGAAAAAATCAACAAAAAACCCAGAAAAATCACAGAAAAATCCAAGATGGGCAAGAAAAAACCCAAAAAACACCCGCAGAAAACCCAGAAAAAAAAAACCAAGATGGGCAAGAAAAATCCCAGGGAAAAAAAAAACCAAGATGGACCAGAAAAAAAACAGAAAAAACCAAGAAAAAAAAAACAGGAAAAAAAAAACCGGAAAAAAACCCCAAGATGGGCAAGAAAAATCCAGAAAAAAACTCAGGAAAAAAAACCCCCAAGATGGGCAAGAAAGAGCCCATAAAAAACCCAGGGAAAAACTCCAAGATGGGCAAGAATAAACCCAGAAAAAAACCCCCAAGACTGGCAAGAGAAAACCAGGAAAAACCCCAAGATGGGCAAGAAAAACCTGTCGCAAAAGGTGCTGTAAAGCGCGACTGTCCTAAAAACGGTTGTAAAGCACGACTGTCGCAAAAGGTGCCGTAAAGCACGCCTGTGGCTGAAGTGGACGACTGGCTCCTGAAATACTGCTATACGCAGGTACGTTCCCAGACCCAAGGTGGCACCAGTGCCAAGTCAGGCTGGTTTGACAGTGCCAAGTGACTCCTGCAATCTGCCATCAAGAGCCGAGGCTGGCGAGTTTAGTTTGCGAGGAAAAATGGGCCAGCATTTCTGTTTGGTAACCTGTGGCCAAAGTGGCTGTCTGGCCCCTGACATTCCACAATATGCAGGATGGTTGCTAGACCCAAGGTGGCACCGGTAGCAAGACGGGTTGGTTTGGCAGTGCTAAGTGGCTCCTGCAATCTGCCATCAAGAACCAGAGTAGGTGTGTTTAGTTTGCCAGGAAAAATTGGCCAGCATTTCCCTTTGGGGGCCTGTGGCTGAGAGTGGCCGGCTAGTCCCTGCAATTCCGCATTATGCATGATGTTTCCCAGACCCATGCTGGCAGAAGTGCTGTCAGGCAGGTTTGACAGTGACAACTGGCTCCTGCAATCTGCCATCAAGAACCAAGGCTGGTGAGTTTAGTTTGCCAGGAAAAATGGGCCAGCATTTCTCTTTGGGGGCCTGTGGCTCTGAAGGGTCGGATGGCTCCTGAAATTCTGCATAACGCAGGATGGTTCCCAGACCCAAGGTGGCACCAGTGCCAAGTTGGGCTGGTTTGACAGTGCCAAGAGGCTCATGGAATCTGCCACGAAGAAGGGGGAAGGTGCGTTTTCTTTTCTAAAGAAAATTGCGGATGTTTGAGTTCGGAGGACTGTTGCTGGAGTGGTGGGCTTGATGCTGAAATTCAGCAATACACAGGATGGTTCCCAGACCCAAGCTGGCACCAGTGCAAAGTTGGGGTGGTTTGACAGTGCAAAGTGACTCCTGCAATCTGCCATCAAGAACCAGTGTAGGTGCGTTTAGTTTGCCTGGAAAAATTGGCCAGCGTTTCTCTTTGGGGGCCTGTGGCTGAGAGTGGCCAGGTGGTCCCTGCAATTCCGCATTATGCATGATGTTTCCAAGACCCAAGGAGGCACCAGTGCCAAGTCAGGCTAGTTTGACAGTGGCAAGTGGCTCCTGCAATCTGCCATCAAGAACCGAGGCTGGTGAGTTTAGTTTCCCAGGGAAAAGATCTGAGGTTTGTGTTTGGGTGCTGTTGGTGGTGTGGCCGACTGGCTCCTGCAATTCTGCAATACGCAGAATGGTTCCCAGACCCAAGGTGGCACCGGTGCCAATTCGGGCTGGTTGGACATTGCCAAGTGGCTCCTGCAATCTGCCGTCAAGAACCAGGAGACATGAATTTTCTTTTCAAAGGAAAATGGCCGATGTTTGCGTTCAGGGGCCTCTGGGTGGAGTGGTTGGCTGGATGCTGAAATTCCGCAATACGCAGGATCGTTCCCAGACCCACGCTGGCACCAGTGTCCAGTCAGGCTAGTTTGACAGTGCCAAGTGGCTCCTGCAATCTGCCATTATGAACCATGGCAGGTGAGTTTAGTTTGCCAGGAAAAACGGGCGAGGTTTTTATTCGTTGGCCTGTGGCCAGAGTGGCCCTCTGTCTCCAGATATTCCACATTATGCAGGCTAGTGAGATTAAGAACAGCCATTTTAGACTCTAGGGATTTTTGTAGCTGCCTTTTAAATTTCACCATTTTGCAGCTGCCTTTTCAATTTCTGAGCCACTAATGAAAGAAAGGACACGTATCTACACTGTTTTCAACGTGGAAACCATCCACTACTGTCCATGTGCCCAGATTCAAAGCCTAACAATCCTGTCTGGCCTCATTGGGAGGAATTATTTGCATTCAAAATACTAGACTAGTATTTGATTTCCACCAGCAGAGTCCATTGGGCAGCTTCTATCATCTGGATTTCAATATTTAGTCCTCCTCTATGTTTACAGTGCAAAGCTATTTCAGAACGATGGTGTGCCCACTGTTTCACCAACTGTGATGTTTGTACCAAGTCTCCCACGGAAAGGAGCTGTACAAAAGGCAAGCTAGGGCAGTGATTTCTGTTGCTCACTTGCAATACCCACAAATCAAAGCTATTTAGACTAATTTAAGGCTGAAAAAGAACATGCCTTCAAAGGATTCAAAAAATCATAAGTCAATACTGGTTCAGTTCCGTATTCAGGACAAGAGCACATCCCACAGACTGAGGGAATTGGGGCTGTTTAGCCTGGTGAAGAGAAGGTTGCATGGAGACCTCATAACACCTTCCGGTATCTGAAGGGAAGCAGGAGAGGGACTCTTCATTAGGAACTACGGAGACAGGACAATGGGCAATAGCTTCCAAGTGAAAGAGGGCAGGCTGAAACTACATCTTGGGAAGAAATTCTTCCCTGTGAGGGTGGTGAGCTGTAGCAGGCGCTGGGCCTGCTAGGGCTCCTGGAGGGCAGAGGCTTAAAGATAGAAAATGCCATGTACTGGTGAAATAGTAAGCCCCTCTCTTCCCCCTTTCAGACCCCAGCTTATCTCTCTGTAACCCCATAGGTCACTTTCCCTTAGCCCCTTCCATTGGCCAATTCTGGGTACCCCTGTACCCTATATATTGGGCTGTTTTATCCCATTCTTGAAAGAGGAGCCATTGCTGGAACCCTTCACAGACCCCCAGTAAAGACATCACTGTGGAACACCAAGGTGACCTTCTCCTCTTTCTCCAGGACCTGCTGGTCAGCCTGCAGCGCCCCAGCAAGCAAAAGAGCTGAACCCAAAAAGGCTGATAATCAAGAAAGAGCTGATATCCCTTATGATTACTAAAGGCAGCCAGCGACTCAGAGCAGCTTGGTTTTCAGGCAGTCTGTCCCCGTAAGAGAACTGAGCTATCTGGCCCGTGCAGCCTGCTCGGGGGCAAACCTACTCACAACAGGAGGCTGAGATAGTGAGGCAGTGGCACAGCTTGCCCAGAGAAGTTATGGACACCCCAACCTGGTGTTCAAGGCCAGGCTGGATGGGGCTCTGAGCAACCTAGGCAAGTAAAAGGTGTCCCTGCCCAAGTCAGAGGGTTGGAACTAGATGGCCTTTAAGGTCTTTTTCAACCCCAGTCATTCTATGATCCTGGGATTCTTCTGTGGTAGCGTTCAGGATGGAGCGTGTTTTGCATGTTGGCCATTTCCAATACACCATTGGTTCCAGGTGCCATACACTAGCTTGCTCCCTGAAAATTCTGTCAGAATGAAAAACATCTCTATATATATTATATACATAATAAATGAACAAAAGGGTTTGCACATTTGTCCACTAAGTTGTGGATGAGATTGCTGTGAACTTTCATTTGGTTTTCTTGTTTGCTCATGAGGCTGACGGTCCTTGTGTCAGCTGCCTCAAAGGCAGCATTTGTCTCCTCCTCCTCCCTCTTGCAATTTCATTCTGTTGACAATTTAATGTCATTTTCCCTTTCATACCTGAAAAAATCCCTGCATGCTTCTGGGTTTTCTCCCTTTTCATGCAGATCTTCTTCCACCCTTGACAATCCATACTTTTCATAAGATAAGGGCATGCTTGCAGGCATAAAAGACTTTGATTCCTTATTAGATCGATGGGAATATAATTATTCACTTCATGCCTTTTCATAGAAACCGTAGGGAATTGATAGCTTGCTCCCTGAAGCACATTAGGAAGAGAATGAAACCTTAAGCATGTGGAGTGGAAAATTGCTATCTATTTTCTTCCAAGAACTACCCCAAAAGATGCAGGGGGTGATGAAGCCTGGCTAGATGAGTTTCCCTTCTAATGGAAGGAAACAACCACGCCACTTCATACAAGTCAGTCCTATAGAAGAGAGAAATTCACTTCTTGGGACGTTGCAGGATTTGAATGCAGAGTCACACTCATCTTTTGTTTCTTTGTTGTCTGTTTGGAATGGAACACGCTGCTTTGAAGAGGGAAGTTCCTAACAGACATTCCTCTTTACAAACACATATGCTTCCCTCTTCTGAGACGTCAGCAACTCTAACCCAGAGAACTGCCTATTGGGAAATGCCTTTCAATTCACTGAGACCACCCAAAGCGCCCATCCACACTATGCCAAAGGTAGGCCCAGTTGTTTCCACAGTTGTTTCCACAGAAGGGTTGGAAGAGCCATAGGTAGCAGCACAAATAGCTCTCACTGAACTTTAATCCTTACCACAGCCACTGCGAGTTTGAGTGGTAGGCCAGTAAGAGTCATGCTCCTTTTACAGCCGGTATGCTGAAGCCACCAGCCCGATGGTGTTCGACTCTTGTAACCAGCTATGTGAGTAGTCTCTGCTGGCATAAATCCCCAATCCCCTCCTCTGAAGGTCTACCCCCTCAGGGAGGAAGGGATTATTTTAAACACAAGCAGTTGATACTTGCATCTTGATACCTTTTCAGAGGCACTCCCAAATAGGAGGAAAGTTACACAGGAATTTGATCCTAAGAGAGTTATTCTGTTATAAGAATGACAGGGGCTGCTGGGTGCTCCAGACCTGGACTCCCGGGAAAGAAGGGATTAAAAAAAATGCACCTGCAGTCAAGACAAGTGGCATTCTGCAAAAAAGCACCTTGCCAGGATCCCGATGGGGAAAAGATATCAAGTTTCTCACTAAAGCCAGGCTTTGAATGACACTTGGGGGAGAAATCAAGCCCTGGGTACAGAGTTTATTGGCTCTCCATCATGCACACGATTGGCTGCTGAGGGAGGAGTTTGTTCCCAAGGCTGCCGAGGGAGCAGAAGGGTGGAGTAAGGAGCAGGTGGCTCCCAGCAGGGCTCGGGAAGTTAGATTGGCAGCCCGCAGCACAGAAAAGCCAGGAGCGAAGGCGGGGTGATGAGTGCCTCCCTTCTTTCCCAGCCCCACAGTGAGGAGCAAAACCTCAGTGTCCCATCCCAAATCCCAGAGAGACAAAGTCCATAAACTGCCTGCCAGAGGTAGGTGCTTGTTCCCTCCCAGGTGAGTGTTTGTGCTTTATTAACACCTGGGACTGTTGGAGGATTAAAATATCATTTCAGGATATCATAGAGCTTCAGGATATTGTAGGGCACAGTATTTACTTAAACACTCATTTATCTCTTATTCCTATAGGTAAGAAAAATCTTTTTGTTGCTGCCTCTTCTGCATGGTGCGATAGAAGTCCTTTCCTTGAGCTGTTTTCTACTTGGGATTGTAGTACAGCAAGGAGAATGGAGAGCTGAGGTCTGTTTTCAGCTGGATAATTCTTACTTTTGTAGTAGTTAATATAAAACCACTTTTCTCCTTTTTTATGTCTTTCAGCACCAGGTGGATGGTTTTTTATTTTGTGAATGAAAATTGTGTGGTACCCTTGAGGAATAGTTTGTGTTTTAAATCTTAGTGAGATATTTAAACAAATTATCATACCTCTCTGTCTTTTGAGTTTTCTTGGTCTTCATCTCTCCAGCTGAGGATTTTGTTTTGGGCTGAGTTCATGCACCTGTCCCTGGAAATTTGTATCAAGGTCGTCTTTTGAATAATCTGAAATAAGTGACAACCTGTGGACACCAGTGTGTTCATTCCTGAAATTGAGATCCAAAATGGCACAGTCAGACAATGTAATTTCCTTTGCTGAAGTGATTACTTGTTGAATCTACACCCTCTCCCTCACCTTGAAAATACCAGGGAACACGGGAACTTGTCCTCTCTGCTGAGATTTGTGTGAAATCCAAAATATTCTAGTTTGTATTACTGAACTGGATTTAGGGCAAGATGCCTTTCAATCTTTTGTTTCTGACCCTTTATCTTCTCTTTGGCGGGAGAAAGTCTAAGTCCCCTCACACTACTTCTGCTTTCAATCAGCTCACGGTCACCCCTCCAAAATATCCCACCTTACTGGCCAAATATCATATGGGAAATAATCTAAGCCCTTCCCTACCCCTGTGAGGGGATTTTTTTTTTCAAGCCTCAAGAACCAGCATGGCGAAACCACCTGGGACCCACAACCACAAAATGGTGCCCACGCCGTGAGGGGACAGTGGCCATGTTGGGCCTGAGGGGCTCGGCGCCGCGATCCCTGATGGAGCCAGTGGGTCTCCCAGAAGGAGCCAGCAGCTTGGGTTGGCTCCCGAGGGGAGGAACTTGGTGGCTCTCCCCGGGGCGGGCTGGGTCGGCAGCAGCGCGGGGAGCCCCTGGAGCGCGGTGTCCTGGCACGCTGAGGGGACGGAGCTGCCCAGGCGCCCCTCATGGCCAGAGGCGGGAAGCAGAAGGCGGGAAAACGACGGGGCCCGGCCTGCCTGAGGGCAGGTAGCTCCTGGCGGCGCCTCGGAGCTGCCGTGCCTGCCATGGTGGGGCTGAGGGGCTTTTCTCCTCTGTTCGCCTTTCTGGCCCTTCAGGGTTGGACTCCGGAACCAAGGGCTCCAACTTTCTCCTCAGTGAAGCACCTTCGGGGCGGCTGTGTCAGGTTTGTTGAAGGTGTTAAGTTAGCCAGATACGGCAGGTGCTGCTGGGCCTCTTGGCCTGCGATGTAGTCACCAGTGCTCCAGAGGATGAGTAACTCAGGAAAATCCAAATAAACAGAACAAGAAACCTGTCAATACCATCTGATTTAAAAATGCACTGATTTAAAATTGTCACTAGCACGTTCCTCTCCTTTCATACTCCCTTTCTTTCTGTCTCTTTTCGTACTCCCTTTCTTTCTGTCTCTTTCCTCTTTGTTTTCTCTTTTTTCTCTTCTTTTTCTCTTCTGCCTGCATCTGGATCTGTCCTAAGAAAATAAACCAGAGAATTTGGAAAAGGAGAGAAACTTACCTCCCCATAAATACCTTAAAGTCCTCCTGCAGTTTTAAAGTTAGGTGGGCAGAATTAATTTTGTTACATAAAGTTGCCTGTTAATAGATTAAAAAGTAAATGCACATCTTTTCTTCGCAGGTGCTGTTCCAATGAACAAAAATATCCAGGAATTAAGGTAGTACACAGGATTTGTTAGCTATTAGAAAATTCCTATTCCTGCTATGTGTTTTTTTTTTTTTTTCCCCAGAAGATAGTGCTCAAATTTAGTGGTTTTCATACACACTTGTATATCTAAGATTTGAAAGTTTCTCCCACAGAAGGGATGTAAATTAGTTTGAAAATTGATGGCAAACCATGATTTGATTTACTGATTGACTCAGACTGATGAGTCAAACTGACACCACACCCTCAGGAATGGAGTAAATAATCCATTGCCTGATCAATTCCAGTAAAATAAGACAGTGTGAATTGGCTCAGGTTTCCTTCCTTTTGTAATCAGGGTTTTAGATAACCAAACTTTCCTCTTATTCTACAGTTTCTTTCAGAAAGGTGGAGATGTGCAGAAGGGGCTGCATGAAGTGAGATGAAATTTGGGGCAGCTTCTTAAATTTAGGTGAGTCCTTGTCACTGCTGAGTCTTTGGTCAGCTTCACCAGCACTATTTTGAGCAGCCTCTTTTTGAGTGAAGTCATGCAGCAGCATCAAGTGAGGTACCCATTCTCTGGTTTTTTATTCTTGAAGCATAACCAGACATTTTTCACATGTTCCATGGAGAATTTCCTTGGGGTGGGGTGACTAGGAAATAGCAAGCAATGTTTTTGAGGAGTTCAATGATCGTTCCAATAAAAGATGTTTATTTGCTCATGACTTTTGGCTGCTCTTTCCTTCCATGCTGATCGTCTCCTGGTTTAGTTACTGCCACAAAAATTCTATTTTGGAAGAAAATTATTTTTTGAAGTGTTGCTTAGGTGGACACATGGACTTTGTTGGGACATCAGTTCCACCATTAAAAGAAAAGACTGACAGTACTTTTGGTGGTTAAATCAGTTTTTCTTGCTGGTTTCACTTAGAGTTTTGTCCTTTCTTGTTTGTGATGTCCTAATTTTTGCCCCGCCGTCCACTTGAGTTACACAGTAACCCCTTCAAATTTAAAAAATCCATAGCTTGATATTTAATAACAGAACATCGAAATTACTGTGTTTGTGACAAGTGAAAGAAGATACTTTTTGCCAAGAGGAAATAATAGCCAGTGTTTTCTTTCGGGAGGAGAATTGAGCAGCGCAGAAATGACCACGAGGCGGCAGCACCACCTCGTAAAGCTGTCAGTTGCCTGCAGCTTGCAAATAGCAGCCAAAGCCTGCTGGAGACAGGTTGTTAAATCTGGGGTTTGATTGTTGTGTAGGAAATGTTAAAAGTAACAGTAGTTTGAGAAAAAGCTTAATCTGCTACTACACTCCACTCTCTGCCCTATTCTTTTGCTTCTTTTGTTTAAGTGAAGCACTGATTGCACAGACTGTGAAATGAAGAGCAAACTGAAAAACAGAAACCCCACAAAACTACACAATATAGAGGAGAGAGAAAACATCCATGTGTTAGGCTCGGAATGAGGAGGCTGAGGCTGCTTCTCCTTTGATGGTTCTTACAGCTTCTAATTTTTCCACCTCAAACTTCTCATAGAGAACAAGAAAGGACCCTGAATTTGATGCATCCACATGACATCTGTCACCTGGAATCCACAGTTTGTCAGCTCTGTTCCCAGTTGGGAGAAGTGAAGAGGATCTGTGAAAACAAGGTATGTATGGATTTGCCTGTTAGCACTGGTGCCAGATTTGAAATGTTCCAGAGACACGAGGGAAGCCTCTTGATGAGGGATTGTTTCAGAAAAACTGTCTGGACAATAGGAAAAATTTCATTAACTTAAACTTGGCACAGAGGAGTATCTTTATTTAATAGCCTTGTAGACTGGTCCATCATCTCATAAACTGGCAGAAGTTGCCTCCTTTCAGAGAAAGTGAACACTACTTGGTACAAAACTTGTTTGCCTGGAGATTTCTGAATGAAGCCATAGTAAAGGAATAGTCCTTGGTGAAAAAAGGACTATTTTTCCCCAAAGTGTAATTTTACCATTCCAATCAGCATTTATGTTGTAGATAAGGGTCTTCTGAAGAGCTCTGGATCAGGGTGGAAGCCAACTTACTTTCCAGAACCTCAGCTAACTCTGAAATGAAACTAAGCTTGATCACTAAAATAAGGCAAGACAATTAGGAGTACACCCAGGGAATAACTCTGCTGCGCCAATAGATAACATTTGTGCTTCTTTCAAGGAGGACCTGGAAGAAAACTGGAAGAAATGGAATTTACTGTTTAAATAGAATGCTTTAAGATAACTCATCATGAATATTTGCCCTTTTCTAGGTCCAAGACCTTGAGAAGCAGTTCTACCTAGCTCATTCTGAGACAGCAGAAGCTCAGACAGGCAGCACTCAGAATTCCAAACTGAGGACCCGTGTTATTTCTCAGACAAGAAATACGGGACGTGGAAGCCCCATGCAGGTCAGCATCTTGAGAAGAAAAAACACTCCAGACAGCATTTAATTCTTCTTGGTGAGAAGGGATTTGAGTGCACATGGGGGAGCTGCTACAAGAGAATAGCAATCATGTTCACAAGCTACACGTGGTAAGATTAATTATTCTTTAAAGCCATCAGCTATCAACAAGTAGTTGGTCTGTTTCACTCTGGTTTTCTTTCTTGCCCTAAACTGGGATTTTAAGTAGTGGTGTCCATACATCTTTGTGGTTATTTTATATAATTACGTATATTACACACTCTTGTTTTTTATGTAAGCAGAGTGTCAAGGATAAGAAAGAAGCCAGAATATGTGAAATGGAGGCCAAGCTGAGCAAACTGGAGCTGGAAAAGGTTCAACTGGTTAGCACATGCACCAAGAGGCTCCAGGCACTGAATGATGCAAAACTGGAAAAAGATGATCTCCTGCAGGAACTCTGGGCTGGCCAGAAGCAGCTAGCTGGCCCTGCAGGTAGGGAGCCTCAGCTCAGCTCCCACAGCTGCTAATTTGGGCTCATGTTAAAAATAAAAGAGCAGCCTGCTGGCTGAATCCAAATATGGCTGCTGGTACAGCATGCGGTTCCTGCCAGCCCAGGATGGTCAGATTGTTCCAGGGAGCTATGTGGGATTCTGGCACTGAAGGGGGGGGAACACAATCTTAATGGCCCATCTCACTATGAGCAAAAATATTTAAAACTGGGTGAGTCAGGAGATGAAAAAAGCAGATCTAGTAAATCATAGAATAGCAACCTGACCCTTTTTTCAAGAGTGGTATGTAACACCAGTACTGAATCCCATTAACTATCTATGGCCAAATTATAGTGCAACTTGGTTTTGTTGCAAATTTGCCAGCGTGGAAGGATATTGTCCCCTTCTGGGACATTTTGGTGTGCATGTTATGGCTGCCAGGTTTGTATAAGCAGTTGCTTTTGTGAGCCTGTCAAAAAAGGCATCCTGCAGTATTTCTGTGCTGATAGAAGGAGGTGAATACAGCATCCCTGTGTGCACCTTGTTTTTGTAAGAGAGAGGACAGCAAAGAGTGCAATCCCTAGAAGGTTAGCACAGCACATTCATGCCCTTTGTGTGTTCTGTTGCAGGCATCCCTGCAGTTTGCAGAGTGCCAGTGCATCGTGCAATGCCAGGAGCAGGAAGCCATGCAGGCTGCAGCACACCTTGGATGTGAGAGCAAGTGCCTTCCTGGGAAGTGTGGGCCCAGCCTCAGGTTCATTTGCTTTGGGGCCTGGCTTTAGGTTTAACCTCTTCTATGCAAACAGCTCTCAAAAGTCTGTGTTCTGAAACCCTTTTCTGTGTGGAATTCCTCAGTGTTGCACATGTCCATAATTCCAGGTTTTTGGAGTGCTATTTCCAGTAATGACAACAAAATATTAGATGGAGTCCAATCCCTGTCTATACTCCTCAGATGGATAGAGGATATTTTTTACTTTTGCCTTATTTCTAACCATGGACTCTTCAGGCTGCAGTGAGGCTACTGCTCTAAATGAAGGGTACCTTGAGAGCAGCAGTTTTATCACAAGAAGTTATCGTTCATTTTAGTGACCCACCCCAGCTGCTGGCTTTGAAAGAGGAACAGAGTGCTATATTCAAAATACAGTTCTACATAAGCAATACAAAAAGTGCTTCAGAGGATGAATGACCAAGGTGGGGAACTTTTATTGTTTTTCCCCAGGAGCTGCAGGGCCCAGGCTACTCCTCAGCTTCTGCCTCAGGGAAGCTGCAGCACTCTGTGCCTCAGTCCCACCTGCTCTCTGCTGTCTGGCCACATGCCCTGCACCTGCCCAGCTCTGCCCCCCAGGTGAGTGCCTGCCTCAGCATGGACACCAGCATATCCCAAACAGCAAAAATAACATGGAATTTCTTCGGGGAAGAGCATCTGCTCAGAGCATCTGAGAGCAAATTCCTAACGCCCAAGGTGAAATAATTCCTGTAGCTTCACATGTGCTGGGTCCTTTCAGATTTTTTTTTGGTGCAAAAAACAATGTGACAACTATAAAATCCTATAGACTGTGCTAAGTTTATCTTACCTCTACCACAAATAACATTCATGAACTATTAAGTCTGAAGGTAAGTGGTTCGGTTTTCACTTTTTTTTTTTGCTGTTTATCACATTTGACAGTGAAAATAGATTTGTGCTTAGATGTTGAAACATTTAATCATCTGCTTGATATTTGAATCTTCCTCCAACCTGGCTTTTATGATTTTGATCAGTTTTATCCACACCGTTTTTCTTCCTTTTCATTTTGTACGTCTACCTTTGGATTGAAATAAAATACACTGATTTTTTATTACAGAAAACATCAAATTTAACCTCTCATTAAAAAAATTCTTTAGCTATTTTCTTCATAGTTTTTGTGTAAATCTCCTGAGGTGACTCGATGTTTCTCCCAGGTATTTTCATTAATTTCAGCCTCAAAATCTATAGGAGGCCACAAGTTAGTGCAGGCAAGTTTCAGGAAGATTTTCTGGTTTGCTTCCTGATGTGATGGCAAATATTTCCATCAAGGAACAAAGGATAGTTCTTTCTGTGAAATCCCTGCAGCACCAGACACTCCCATTCTCTCTTCTCAGAGTTAATCAATTTATACTTCTGAAGATAAAGAAGAAAAAAGGACTTAGTTTTAATTTAATACTACAGTGAGGACCCAACAGGTTGCAGGAACACTTGAATCAAAGTCTACTTTAATCTTCTGGTTCCTGCATCATTAGTTATTATAGAAAATGAAGCAGCTGCAACACTTGAGACAGACTCTGCTGGGTGCTAGTCTGGTTTCCTAGCTGGAGTGTGGAAAAGGAGGATTTGGTCTGACTCAAAGTCACTTTAACCCATTATGAAGCTGAGGATTTGTTGCCCATATAAGCCCTGCTGAAACCAGTGTATTCACATTAAAAATTACCTTTATTTTAAAATAAAAATAGGGTAGCAAAGTTTTTCCAAAGTTCCAAGTTTTTCCATCTCCCAGTGGAACAAAGGTCAGTGGGAGTAGTGCTTTGAACACGTGAAATGCTGAAAAATCCAGTTCTCAGCAGTGAAAAATCCAGTTTTCACTGAAACAAAGGGTTCTTTGAACCAGGCCTTTGCCTCAAGTCCTGAGCAGTAAAATGAGAATAATTTTGCACTTGATGTCCACGATGGCTGTGGCAATGAAGGGGTTTGTATCTGCAGACAGCTCAGCTGCTGCAGAGTTCGCATGGCAAACATGGAATGAGTATGCCTGGCAAACACCCCCAGGAGCTCCTGTGTCTCCCTTCAGCCCAGCAGTATCTGGGGTCACAGGTTAAAAAGGACAAAACAAGAGTCAAGGGGGAGAAAATACATGCATTTGGATTAGTTGAGGCAAGAACTGACAACAGAGTGCCTTTGCAAATACTTTTTAACTGAGTTATTTCATGTCAGAAGCCTACCAAGCTGGACATTTTGAAGGAAGAACCATTGTAGGATCTGAAGAGGATTTCTTCAAGAATTAACAAGCTCAGACAGTGAACTTCCCTCTGTGGATCTCAACAGCCATGGTGGGAGAAAATCCCTTTTAACAACCATGAGGAATGCAGGGTAAGAATAATAGGTTTATTTCTGTTGTGTGCTGTGTACTTACAGTGCCCTCTGAAACTGGGATCTGGCTCTTGACATGCTTCAGGAGCAGTGTGGGATGTGTTTTTGCAAGGTCAGGTTTACACATAAACTTGAGATAATCTGGAAGCTTCCAAAGCTTCTGTTGTTTGCCAGGTTACTCAGATGCTTTAGGTGGAAGGGAAATAGAAGGTGATGACACCATTTGCCTTTAGTGCTTCCTTTTATTTTTGTTCAGAGCTCCTTTCTTCTTTTCCTGCCATATGTAAATATCCAAATGCCGGAATTTTTTGTTTTTACCAAACACATGATAATGACATGTGTTTGGTAAAAAAAAATGAAGTAGATGAAGTTGAAAAATCAATACAGCACACAGTCTGATGTTTCTAATCCAGACCGTATGCATACTTCATTTTAAAAAAATGCAATTCATGATTTTTGATTAGGATTAAATCAGAACTGCAGCTGGAGAGGCTGCTGCTGCAAGCACAGTGGAAAAGCACATTTTAGGACAGTGAGAAGTGCTTTGACTTAGCTGAGTAACCTGCCTCTCACAGTACTCCTTTGAGGCTCAATTTCTAAGGCTTTTTTAATACAGCCCCAATGCTGAGCTTGATTGTATTGTTTTAGTCATAATGCTAAGAGCTTCCTGGAAATTATAAAACAAAGCTTTCATGTCACTTTCATCCCTCTAAGCAAGAGCTCTGAAACATATTGTTTGCTTTTCATTTCCATGGCTAGGACCTGGAGACTCCATATGAGAGCTTCACATTCTCACTGTGGGTGCTGGCTAGCATGACCACACTTCAGCATAACCCTTCCAGAATGCAGGTTTTGCCCTTATTTTGCTTTAAGGTGTCCTTCCTGCTCACATCCTGCAGATCCTGAGTCCCAGAGTGTTTCCCTGCTCCTGACATCCCTTGGTAAGTTTTCCTGGCAGCACTGATGTCAAACTGGAGCATTACAGAATATCATGAAGAATATGTAGTCCCAATGCAGTATTTTTTCCTAGGAATTTACTCAAATACCTCTTACCAGGTGCTATTACAAAGGCGGTGTTGCACTTCCTACCAAAATCTGTATCTTGTTAGAAAGCAGCTCCTCAGAGGCTGACATAAGCACGCCCAAAATTGATAACTTCCAATTACTTGTGTAATCCATAGCATTGTCACATTTTTGGAGCCCAAATTTTAGGCTCTTGAGTTCTTTATTTGGGTACTTGCTCTTAACCACCCCACCTGATGAGATTGCAGCTGGCCCTGCTGCCTCATCTGAGCCCAGCCCAGTCCCAGGGAAGCTTGGCTCTCCCCAGGGAGCAGCCACAGGAATAGGTATATCCAATCCCACATCCTGATCAGGGTGCCTTCACCCCCTCCCAGTTCTGTTCAGGCAGAAGGTTAATTCTGTGATAAATGAATTTTGAGTAAAGCATAGCAGCTAATTAATCTATTACACAGTCAGAATATAAATTTCATGCACCACTAATTTTAAAGCCTGTTCAGTTGCTTTATTCAAATTAAAATGCTGTAAGGATGCTTGACATCAATACTTGCAGTAAAAAATGTTTGTAATAGTTGTTGTGGTTCCTGTAACACATTTAGTCAAGTTCTGGGGTTTACTGAAAATGTTGGTATAGATTTTATTTCATAAGAACATCAGTTTAAAGGGAATGTTTAGATAATTTATAATGGGCTTTTTTATTATTACTGATGATAATATTTTTTCTCTAGTTTCTCAGCCCATGGAACTAGTGAGCCCACATCAAAGAAGCTACAGAACAAGATGGAGAGCCTGCAAAACCTGGTGGAATCATCTCAGATGAAAAACCAAGATGCCAGTCTTTACCAAAAATATTCCTGTTTTATTAAAAAAACAGCCATTCTCCAGAAACTGTTGTTGGTACCTGCTGAAGCACTACCTGTGCTTTTACTAGCACACACTAGTTTAACTTGTGCATTATCCTGCTCCTGGTGGAGTAATTAGATTAACTCCACAATGCCCCTTACCTCTAATAAGCTTCAGGATCCTTAACATGTCAAACATGGCAGCTGCTCAGGGGTGTCCTCGTGTGCTGTCATGGCCAATTACAGGGAATTTTTGACAAGCTGATGATGCTTTCATGCAAACTGCAAGATTTCCAAAACTTAGTTGCATGAGCTCCTGGCATGCCAGATGAGATGGGGTTTATTTTCTCTGGGCTTTTTCTTATTGCATGCTCCAGTCTCTTCCCCTTTTCTCCTTTAAGTCTCATTGCACAGTTTTGGGAAATTATTTCCCCTCATCACACAGTGCATTTGTGTCAGGGACATACAAGTGACCTGATGTCGGTAAAACTAATCAAGCTATTTATATAAATAAGTCAGAGCTAAGTGTTCTCATTTTTGTTCTTTGCCATCCATTAATATCCTCAGTGGTTTGTATGTAGTCACATAAAGAATTGCAAACTGAGGCTGCATTTGTAAGGGCTTTATAGGTACAGCATAACTTGTTATGGGAGGACTCTGTGAAGCTTCAGCTGGCTGCACCTGAGACCTCAGCCTTTGGAACATAAGGTGGTGTTCAGCTAATCTGTTCTTCTGCTATTTTCAGCCATGTCTCCAATGGTCAGAACTCAGGAGGTGAAGACAAAGAAATGCAAGGAAAAGGAGAGAAAGCTGTCCAACTGTATGCATTAGTGATTGCTTTCATGTAGATCCATTGTGTTTCAGTTGGTTTTAAATATTAATAATAAAAGAATAAAAAGCCCTTACAATTTTAAATTCTTGTTTATAGCTCTTATTTTAAATTAGCAGGAAGTACAGAGCAGAAAGTAACTTTAAGGGTAATTTAATCTCCTTCCAACCCCTTGCCATGGGCTGGGGCCCCTTACACTATCCCAGGTTGCTCCAAGCCCCATCCAAACCAGCCTTGGACACTTCCAGGGATGCGGCAGCCACAGCTTCTGTGGGCATCCTGTGCCAGGGCTCAGCACCCTCAACGGGAAGAATTTCTCCCTGTGTCTAAGCTAAATTCTTCCAGTTGAAGCTTCAATTCCACACTGTACAGTGATTCATTCAAGGAGAATGGACTCACCCAACTTTAGTTTGCATCTTGTGTGGGGAGAAGAAATTACCGTGTTGTGCTTCAGCTATCCTCAGTTTCTGCCAACAGTATTTTAATTGGAGAAATTTTTTTAGTTTTGCTAATAATTTTTTTGCACTGTTTCAGATACTTTTTGCGCCAGTGTTGCAAGCTCGGACAAAAGATTAGTAAACACATCTCCCCTTTCCTAGAAATCAGTTGCATTGAAAATGAAAGGATTGGTTTGATGGCACATGAATCACAGTTTGGACTTGCCACAAATATTGGACAAATCTTCCAAAATTTTCTCAAGGGGAGAGTCAGATGTAGAGAATAGTGACCTAGGAAAGGTCACTGCTAAGTGTACTCTCAGTTGTGTTCAAGGAGCCAAGCTAAAAAAGAGTTTCAGAAGCTGCAGTTGTGTGCCAAGGGCAGGGGGCAGATGAAGGGGTCAGAGAGAAGGGAGGGACATCTGCCAGTACAAAACAGCAGCTTAACATCACTTAGCTGGCATCCAGAGAGTTGGGGACAGGTCTGGGCTTCCCCCCTGCCACCAGCAGCAGGCAAGGAACAGGCCTCATAGACCCATGAGCCTGAGAGCAGCTGAATGCATGCAGCCCCACAGCACTTGTTATTCCATGTCCTGCAGGTGGATGGCACAGCAGGACTGTTGGGCCAAGCTTGCCCACAGCAGGGACACCACAGATGGCAACCAACCCCTGGGAGAGAAAATTTAACAGCAGGGCTCATAGGTGCAGAGGCTCCAAAGGGTGAGTTCAACTCCCAGAGACAATGTGAGATGGGTGTGGGTTTTGCAAAGCAAAATAGCTGCAGTGAAGGTTTTAGCAGGGGACTTTAAAATGGCTTATGCCTAGTCCCCTCAGGCTGCTTGCACAGCTCACCATCCAGCTGCAGCATTCAGCATTTGTGCAACAAACTACTTGACAAAAAGGAACAGTTTGTGTTTCACATTAAAGCAATCAAATTCTGTCTAATTTGACAGAAGTTGGTTGTCAGGGGTATGAGCAGGTGAACTTTAACGATAGCTCTGTGGTTACAGGCTTTGCCAAGCTATGAGTGAGGCAGTTTATTGTTTGCTTGGACATCTGCTGAGCCACTGGCTGTTAGATCCAAACAACAATAAGTTGTTTGTCACATATAGCTGCACTGGTCTCACAGCCAGGACATTGTATTAGACAGCTATCAGCCATTCCAGCAGCATCTTTTTTATGCAGCAAGGCAACTTTGTTTAAATCTGCCTTCACCTTTGAGCAAATATTGTTCAATAATGAGAAAACACACCTGTGAACTTGGAGAAAATACTAATAGGTTCCTCCAGAAAAACTGAAATCCAGATTTCTTTCTTTCACCCTACCCAAACCATTTAATTTATGTACCACAGGTCCTGCTGGGACTATCATAATAACTTGGAGGTTTTTTTAGCAAAAGCCCAGTGCAGGTCTTGGTAGAAACCCTAGCTGATCATTCAGCAAGGTGATACAATCATGAGGACTGTGTTGTCTGTGGGATCAAAGTGCAGGGTGCTTAATTAAAAAATTAAGTTGTTCTCAATTTAAAAGAGTTCTTGGGGTTGGTCTGTTTGACATGTTCACCATTGCATTAGAGAATCTATTCTAGCATAGGTTAAGTAGCTTTCTGGTGAATAACTTAATCTAACAGCACAGTTAATCTCCTCAGACAAGCCTCAGGCGTGTGTATAAATATGCTCAGGCGGCAGCTTCAGGGATTTCTGAAGATCACCTTCTATTGCTGCTGAATATTACCTATAGTATCCACTTCAGTTTCTTGTGAGAAAAGCCAAGTGCTAAGAATGCAGCTGAAGTTGTTCTGCTGGATAAAAAATGAAAATTCCAAATTGCGGGTTGGAATTGGCAGTCTCTCTCCCTCCTCACCCTCCCCTCAATACCCTCCCAGGTTTTCCTTGAGCTATTTTGTGGCCAGGTCTGCAGAAGCAGGCAGCTCAACCCTCCCTCACTGACCAGCTGGTATCGAAGTCCCAGTAAGAACATTGCCAACACTTGTTCTTCCCAGCACTGTCCCACCAACTGGATGCCCATTAACCCACTAGATGCAGGTCAGCTCTGAAGTTCATCTTCCAGTCTTTCACCAAAGCCATTCTATTTCACACATCCAGGCTGCTCCACTGCACAGAGCAGAAAGGAATTAGCAGAGGCATTTAGTGATGTGCTTTTTGAAGTACCTCTTCCAAGCTGTAATTTGTATACTTGCAGATCTACAAAACTCTGCTCTCCGAGACCAAGCTCACTCAAGGCAAAGGCTGTTTGCAGGCTTGGTCTTGTAATGCTTGGTTCAGCATTATGGAGAGAGGAGCTTGCTCAAGTGGCAGCATGTATTTGTGCCTAAAAATACAAAAGGCAGGGAAGCAGGGCAAGTTTCTGCTTCTATCATATAAAGATACCACCTAGCTGATGCTGGAAGCATCATCTGGCTTACTAGAAGGCCACAGCTTAAAATAAATTCAAGGTGAAAAGCTTAGGCTTAAAAAAATATTTACAAGTTCAAGCCAAGTATTTGCTTACAATGCTGTGGTATTGTTAATCAGTATGCCACCCCTCTCTGTTCCAGCCAGAACCCTAATCCCTGGCCATCACAGCATTCCAGGTTTTTTTTAAAAGCCTGCTCGAACTCTGACAAAGTAATTCATTAAGCTGTGACAGTCCTTTGTGACCTTTGCTCTCCCCGCAGCAGGAGTGGAGCTGCCTGCCAAGCCTTTCATTTGAGCCGAGATGATTGCTGGACAGTAGGGGGTAGAGAATTAACTATTTTGGGGTTCAACCTTTTGTTACTCCAAGAGGGAGGGCCACTTCTCAGCACTTGCTTAGCACTAAGATTTCAGGTCAAGTGGCTCACTTGGATCAAAGTTACCAAAATGAGTGAGGTCACTGGTCAACTGATAATGAACTGTCAATCTGAAAATGTTTATTGTTTCCTTAATACATTACATAAATTAAAACACTTAAGTTCCTGTTACACTGTTGGTAGCCACACCTCCCAGTACGCTTCCCAAGCCCAAGCAGTGGGTACCAAGATGCTTCCCATAGCCCCACTCAAAGCAATACTTGAGTCCAGGGTCCAGATCCACCTGGACAAGCAGGTGCTTGGAATGCTGCTCATGCCTTCTTAGCCTACCTTGTGTCTCTTCAGTGTGCACTCAAAGTTGATTCTTCAGGTTGCCAAAAGATTTCCTAAAGAGATCTGCTGCTTACGTGGTTCAATACGGGATTTCCAGAGCTCTGCACTCAAGAGGGTCTCCTAAAGAAGAAGAGGAGCCCCCCTAAGGTTTAGGGGCTCGGTGGTTCACCTAGGCAGGCCTGCCATTAAACCAGCAGCTTCCACCTTCCCATTAATGGTATCCCCACCACTGATGAACAATTTGATCTTCGTGTTCAGTCACTAAGGTCCTGTTACCGCATTCTTCCCAGCGTCTGACCTTGCCATTCTCCACCAAGATAAATTTCCACTCTACTCTGGTGTCCGCGGGCAGACTGATGGATTCGGACCAGAAGCCATCCTTGTCACACTTGAGGGGGACGTAGCTGTGCCACTGGCCCAGACACTCGTGGTCCCCCGTGACACCGATGAGCTGTGTGTCAGAGTGGGTGATGTAGTGCACTCGGAAAGCCACGTGGATGTTCTGGAACATGGGGGGCACGGCTGCAACTCGCTTTGCTTTTGAATCCCCATCACAGCAGTCTCCTGCTTCCCATTCCTTACTGTCTGAGT